ACTTGTACCTTTCTATCCAGTATTGAAATTGGTTGCTCAATGAAGGATAGGTCATTCCTGATCGGTAAAGGTTCATATTTCAAGACATGGGATGGGTTGGGCTGATATTTTTGTAATGAGGATACATGGAAGACGTTATGGACGTTTGTCAATTCGGTTGGTAAGGCTGTTCTATAAGCGACACCTGCGACTCTCTCCAGGATTTCAAAGGGTCCGATGTAGCGGGGGCTCAGCTTTCCTTTCTTGTCGAATCTCATGATGCCCTTTATTGGTGAGATCTTTACACAAACTCGATCACCTTCTTCAAATTTGATGTCTCTCCAGGATTTCAAAGGCTCTGATATCATAATTGTCACGCTCCAAGATTTCTAACATTCCCAATGTGCGACAGACTATTCTTATACTAGTAAAAATTCAAATTCCTATTAATATATATTGTAAAAAAACAATTTTTTTTCTATTTAATTAAAATTTGCATAAAGTTTGCTCACAACTGGTATTAACATGACGGCTAGGTATTCATCTATTGATAGAACAAAAATTTATAGTGGTGAAGTTTAACAAAAGTTAAAAAAGAGAATTTAGTTATGACACGACTGCATCATCTTCACAAGTTGGTCCTGATGTGCATTTAACTATGAGACTGCAATTACCCAGAAAAATATTTACTATAGTTAGATGAGTTTGGCTACTCAGTAAGTGATCATCTTGGTCCTCAAAATAATCATGGTTGGAAGATATAAACATTTTCTCAATAATGTAGATTAAAAAAACAACATAATGAGGAGCATTGCGAACAAAAACATTTATGAATAACAATTTCACTTTTCACAAATCCACAGTTAAACATAATCCAAATGAAGGAAATGCATATAAACATTTTAACAAAGATTCAAAGGATTTTCCAAAATACCCTACTGGCGTCCCAAGTAGGTCACTTATATACCCCATCAGCGTCCTGATGGGTCCAAACAACCCTTGCAGGTCGAAACGTACCTCACTAGAGTACGAGATGAGTCGAAATAGCCCCTACCGGATAGGTTTAAACATTTCCTGCAGGTCCAAATATACCTCACCGGCGTCCCGGATGAGTCCAAATAGTCCTTATTGGCATAACCCGATAGGTCTTAACAATCCCTGCAGGTCCGATCATACCTCACTGGCGTCCCGGATGAGTCCAAATAGTCCCTACCGACATAACCGGATAGGTCCTAACGATCACTGCAGGTCCACTTATACTCAAATTATCTCTGAAACTCTTTAAACATCAGAAAACAACAATATCATATATGCGAAGTATCATTGAAAACATTAACATGCATTTACTTGGAGCAATTTAATAACAATCACTTCCATTGAAATATCTTTAAGTAGCTATTTAAACATTTTGTGCAATAATTTCTGAAAGTTAACAGCTCTGAAGGACATTCTTGAAATCTAACATGATAACAGGCTAGTATTAATAGACGAACTTTTATTAGAATCCAAAATTAAATAAGGAATTATCACAATTTATGGAATTACCAATTTGTAAATAATGATTTCATAGGCAATACTGCAATCAAGTGCGAAAATATAAGTTTTTCAAATAATGAGGCAATCATTTGCATATGAATTATAAAATGTCTAAATATTCAAAAACAGTAGAAGGAAATCTCATAATTTTACTAAAAGCGAAAATATCACATTTATTTCTAATAATTTATAGTATTTAAAATTTTGAACAATAGACAGGAAGATTATAAATTTATTTCTAATAATTTACGGTATTTAAAATTCCTAACACTAGATAAAATATCACAATTTTACTAAAAATATTATTTTTCAAAACAATGAGGTCACTTACACACAAAACTTATGAAATAAAAATTCTGGACGAAAATATCACTATTTATTAAAAACAGACTATTTTTAAAGAAGATAACGTCACTTACCTATAATATTTGAGAGGGAACTTTCGATAAAATTCGGCTAGAAAGAGAAAGATTTTACTGTGTTTGTACGAGGGAGAGCGGAAAAGGAAGTTCTGTAGGGCGAGAATCCTTACCCTCGTTCTAGTTAACTTCTTAAAAATTATTATTATATTACTTTATTAACTCCACCTCATACATGAGGTGTAGTACTAGTATTAAATGTGTAATGTTTAAAACCCAAGTCTACTAAAGGACATGGCAATTGAAAGGAAAAGGTGAAGGGTAAAAGGGAATAAGAGTAGTGATGGTCCCTAAAGACCATAATGCCTATGTGGACCATCATACTATAAAGAGCTTTTTTTATTTTTTATATTTTTATTTTTCAGTTCTAAAAATTAAGGTTGTTACAACACATCCTCTTTCCACTCCCTCGCTTTGGACCTCAATTATAAATGGAATTCAGGTTGCTACGTCGTTTTCTGTCATGTACACCAAGAGAAAAATAGTGCAACAAATGCCCTAGCTTGTCTCACCTTCCAACCTTTAATTACTTGTCGCGATCCCGCTCCCTACCGTCCCCGTTGGACCCACAGACTGCTAGACCCGGGTCCAACGAAGGACTATGGGTGTAGGATTATGACCACAAGTAACAAGTGTCACTCCAGTTGGAATGCGCTCAACACTTTGAAAAAGAGTTTCCAGTATCAAAGCCAGCCACAAAAGAAACGAAAAACGAAACACAATGTACGTTTTGGTCTACAATCTGGCCATATAGTCCATTTTGATTTTGTAATATATCTTGATGTTGAGCCTTCTCTTCTCCTCCCTTTCCTTTTCTCTTTGTTACTCTCTTTGTAACACTCGTAACTTTGAGCTTTTGCTCTTTTTAGTGAAAGTTAACGCTAAAAAAAAAAACCAAAGCTCTCCTCACATTCTCTCTCCTCTTAATGTATCTCCCCCATCCATCTCCCCTACATGTCTCTTCCACTTCCCCTCCCTCTAATAGTCGTTTATTCTCTCATATGCACATATGTTAAGTTCTTAATTTAATACAATACAAATATTAAATGTGCTCTTAATATAAATCATATTAATTGTGTTCTAAATACAAAAACTACTAACCTTTATTGAAAGTTATTTTTTTATTTTTTAGGTAAGTAAAGTTATTTTTTTTATGTTATATGAATTTAACAATAATAAAATATTAAATAATTAAAACACGTACATCCAAATTAGGATTTAGTTAATTTAGTATAACTCTATTTTTAAAATGATGATAATTATAGTCTTATTAGTTAATTATTAAAAATTTAATCAAGTATGGTTTAATACGAAATAGATTTGATAATGGCAATTTTTATGAATAAAATGATGAAATCTTGTAATTATTACAACTTCCTAATAATTTAATATAATAATTATAATTATTATGTTATAACCATTGTGAAGATAAATTCATTGAATTAACTCCGGCTAAGACTATATTTTATTGAAAATATTTTTTTTGACAAATATTTAGGTGATTAGTATTAAATATCATGTGTAACACAAGTGGCCCTTCATTATGCTAATGAGGTTTTCTCTCCCACAAGTCCCTGTGAGATAAAGAGTTCTCATCATTGAGCACCCCTTAATATAGGATCATGTCTAATTTCTAGTTCTTTGGGTTTACTAGTAAATTTTATTGTGATAATATATTTCTATTTTTCTATAAACCTCTTTCTTATTTTTTTTATATTCACAATGTAAAGCAAAATTTAAAATATTTACACAATATTACACTAGAATCATAAATTTCTATCAAAAATATTTATTTGAATATATATTAGAATGAATTTAGATTATTTGGTTTTTTAGTTTGCATGAGAAATACGACACATCTAATTTTAATTTTTGATAAAAAAATATATTCTAAAAGAATTCTAATAATATAGTCCATGTGTCTATATAGCCTATATAGAATATAGAGTATATAGTCGATAGCAATAATTCTATATGGTTTAAATGGTCTATAGGTGGTGCACCACATGCCAAGGTCCAAGTCCAGCCTAGCCTAACCCAGGCGACTGGGCCTAGGTTCATGTCCAGGCTAAAACTCACCATGTTCCTGTGTTCTCATCTAGGATAATTATTATACATTGACACCGTCCCATTGATCGGTGAATGATAGAGGGGGATAATACATGCCTGTACAAGAACATGGAATGAGCCAGATGGTAGGTCTCTCTATCCCACCATCATCATCCACTCTGGGATTGGACGGTTTTGATACCTTATGATTAATGATCTTAGGTTGTGATGTAGATCACAGGAATGTCCCAATTCTGATTATAGATGTACAACAATCCTTTTGGAAAGCTTATAAAACACTCCAGACCACCAGTGAACAGCCAAAAAGAAAACCAATTCGAGCTAGTTATTTACTATTCTGCAAAAAAACAAAAAAAAAGAAATAAATTTAGCACAATATGTTCTTATCTGAACTCTTTTCTTGAAGATAGTTGTGCTTTTCTTTTTGGTAGGTGGGTATGCATATGACATATAATATAAAAGCTACAGGGGAGAGATGTACATATTTTATTGTAAATTTCAAATTCACCGATCAAAAGAAAAAAAACTCAAGCAATTCAATGTGAAAGGTCCAAAACAATCTCCCAGCTCACCTATCCCTTTCCTTTTTTATGGTGAATCTTTTTTTGGGTTTTTTGGTTAAATTCAGGGACACCCATTCATCCATTCTTGAAAGAAGCGATGAGAGCCTCAATCTTGTTTATCAGATCTGAAACATTTTTTTCATCACCTTTAGGAGGGGAGGTCCACTCTTGGTAGTTGTGGAGGCTCCCCGTAAAATCAGTGAAGAGGCCATCGACTCCAACCTCATTTATCCAATAATTGTATTCGGCATATGGATCTTGGTGGAAATCTGTGTGTAAAAATTCATGCTCATCCCGAAATGTGTAAGGGTGAACCTGATACATACCCAATATGAAATCAGCTCTTGTCTGACAAATATATATTCATATGAACATGTATAGATAAACAAATAAACAACCATTCACACACATGCACAAACATAAATACAAGTACATATATATGCATATATATTTGTGGAATCAATTACAAAGAAGTACAACACGATAAGGTGTGATAAAAAAGTAGTCGCTATAGAACTGTGAATCAAGGTGAGATGCTAGAAAACCTGTTTATTTGTGTTATATCTGCTAAATGATGTGGAATTAATGCATAGGGAAATTTACATACAAACCCAAAATAGTTTTCGGAATCAGAAAAGGGTCCATATTTTAGGACATTTTACAAGAAGTGCAACATTTAAGAGTTTCTTTTTTATTCTCAATTTACCCCGGCTTGGAAGTCCAACTTTCTAAGCTAACCAAAACACAAACCAACTTCCAAACACTTTAGTTTTTCATGTTTTGGGCAGTTCGAGAGTAGGCCTTCCAAAACACACAAATACTTAGTGTTTTTGTATTTTAAGCAGGTGTTAGAATTTTGAACTGGGGGTAAAATGGGAATAAAAAAACTCCGAAATTTTGGACCTCACCATAAATATCCTAAAATATGGACCTTTTTTTAATTCCGAACATTATTTGGGGTCCATACCTAAGTTTCTCTACTTCATATGCAGAAATGAGTAACAAAAACTATAGCTTCGGACCATGTCAACTCTGTCTCTCTCTCTCTCGCACACACAGAACAAGATCACAAAATAGAAGAGTTAGACAGAAGTATACCTGTAGGTTGTGAGCATGCGCTTTGGCAACAAGGTCAGTCATAGTAGTCAAATGATTGTGTTCAGGGGGTACAATTGTATCTTTCCATGGTCCAATACCAACCACATAGTCTTTGATGAAATCGAAGTAATCATCCGAAGTAATCTCCCAGTAAGACTGCAGTTTAAAAATAATGAGTCCATATTCCACCTAGTCCTTTTGTAACGCAGAGCCAAATGGCTATGGTCCAATTGAATATGGATTATGATTTTCCACAGTCCTTTAAGGTCATTACACTATGCAATGAGATGATGGCCAGTGATGGAGTGTCAGTGGTCGTACTAATGCACTGCACTTCACAGTCCCACTTTATCAGAGTCCAAGATTTCACAGATGGTCATGACCCCAATGAATTATGAAAATACGTAGTCCATGTGATTATAGCATAGTTTCCCTTTCTTTTAAGCACTCATTTCAAGAGAAGAAAGAAGATAAGAAAGTCACATAAATACTCTCTGCAAGTTATTTCTAGAGAGTTAGTACATACAATAAGCTGTTCGCAATGTAAAATTTGGAGGCCTAATATATACTATGAGCTAATAAGTCAAATTGCCCCATTAATAAATAAGCAAATGAGAAGCATTGATAGGAAATAAGCGAAACCTGGTTTGTGTCTTGAGTTGGAATTGTCACATCATCAATCAGGAAGATCTTGGGTGAGTTTGTAAGGTTTGATATATATACAAGTGAAGTTGGAGCAAAGGACTGGATAAATATAGGCTGCTTTATCCAATCTTCTGACAAATACTCCCCTTTAAACCCATACTTTTGAAGAAGTTCTACAAATTTGTCTTCATACTTCTTTCCATCAGCCCATTTGACCTGCAAAATATTTGAACTCGATATTTCCACAGCATAACCTGCAATATATCTGAATCTCATATGAAACTCAGATTGTTATCAATATCTAGGGACACCGTAGATTGTGCTACAAAATTTCATCAGTTATAGGCTTGCAATGTGAGGAACTTACCTGGATTGTTCTTGACTTGAGAACGACAACTAATCTTGAATCCTGCTCATATCTATTCTTGTTGGTCGTTTTTTCTTATTGGGCTATGAATTTGGGGTTCTATATCCTGCACATATCTTAGCTTCTTGTTTGACATTGTTTATGGGTTAGCCATCATTCTGCTATTTCTACCAAGATACCGATGGGAATATTGATATTGCTTGGTGGCTAAATTTAACCCATGCACATGAGTGGTTATAGAAAAAACATGGGTACAAATAACGGACACCCCTAGCTATTAAAAAAAAAATGCTCTTAACTTGGAGGAGAAAGGATGACTAAAGAAAAAACCAAAAACAAATGCAGAGATCAAGGACATCATTGGCTTCTACTTTAGTAAATGCAATTAAGCATTTCGGGAACAAAGTGGGAAGGGACAAACCCACAACAGATAACTGACTAAAATCTATATGAGAACTTCTTCTAATGAGACAAAAATTTCTTATGCCCTAGAAAGATTTGTATCATATCTTATAGATCACAAAACCTATATCATAACTTTTCAGATAAAGACCGTCATAAGATGAACAGCAAAAAATTATGGCTCTCATGCATATACAAGGGCAAGTGTTACATTTGAACTAGATAATGAAGTAAACAGTGGTATTCACAAGATGACAACTTAATTGTTGAAATGATGATCAAACCATATTTTGAAATGTGAAGTACAAACGATGGTCATAAAACTCAAAACTAGGACTCAACATGGCACATATCAGTTCACTTGACTTCGCTGCTCGTGACCTGTATAACAAATTGATATCATATTATATGGACACATAATTTCATCACTAGTAAGCTAGTCATACTCGCTGCGCACTGAAGCTACAAAAAAAGAATTATTCTGTTTTTCCCCCTAAAACCTTCCATTGTTTGGAATCCTTTCCGGCCAAGTAATAAAGCCAGGTCATGATCAACCTAAATGAAGAAAATACTTTATTTGAACAACATCTTCCCACCCATAGAAGTTAGAACCTAATTGTCGCTCGAAACTTTTTGTGCCCAAAATTATATAGCGATCTACACTCTACAGCATGTAATTTCTGACATATGTCCATGATAACGAAAGACTAGGAGCAAATGTATGAGAAGCAAGCGTCAGGGTGAGGATGACTGTATAAATCCAATGTGCAGGAAAGTCACAACTGCTAATGCCCTTACTTTCCCAGCTATTCATGCAACAATATGAACTGAGTTTCACTTACATGTTGGTTGATGAAAACTGGGTTTTTCATCTCAGGGTAGATTCCAACAACTCGTGGAGCATCTAGTGCAATTGAGATAAATTCTTCAAAGGTAATTATTGGGAACTTTCCTGAATGACAAATTGACAGAAAAAAAGCTTTAAAATCAAGATTGTAACCATAATATCTGTGACAATAAAGACGTCCATGTGAACGATCACAATTAACAAAAGCAAATATTGGAAATTTCAAAGGTACAATGAGGAAAATATCAATAAAAGATAAACTCGCAATTTATAGTTTTTCGCAATTTATAGTTTTTCCTCTTCTTTTTCTTTTTCTTTTTTCAATTATTGGCTTGGAATTCATATCTAAGCCGATTTTATACATTAGAAGCTAGGCTGACATATACAGTTTCAAATTTGTTTATTACAAACTATTTAATGGTTGATTTTCTATTGATTATCTCGTTGTTCTTTTCTGCACCTGGCATCTTAAAATAGGCCGTTGACATATTTTATCAGGAGATTTAGACAATTAAAACAGGAGGGCAACTTATAAGATCCTTTCTATGTTAATAAATGGAAAATGTTTTGGTGTGGCGATTGTTCCACGCTGACGCTTTACCCAAAAGTCAAATAGTCCTTTTTGACTTCGAGAAAAAGTGCCATCATCAGCACCGTTCATTTGAAATATATGCTGCAGATGACCTAGGCAGGATCTTTTGTGCTGTGGCAAAGGACCCTTAATAAAAAGGATATGGGGTCTGCATCTAGAGGAAGAGATAATTTATCAAACAAAATAATATTTATAGAAAATGGTGTAATTGATATATGTACTAGCATACAAAAGTAACCAAAAAATATGTGTTGAGAATTGCACAGCCTTTGAAGACTTAAAGGCTACACCAAGTAACCTGTCCACCAGGAAATGCTAAAGAGAGACTGATCCTAGAAAGATGGGATTCCCTTCTACCCACCCAACAAAGCAGCCAAGCAAGGTAATCTCTCTTGCATACACACCCCACATTTGAGCATCACATTATGGTGATAAGCAATGTTCTAGTAAGGGTAAGGACCTTAAACTTTCCCTTAACCCATCCCAATCCAAGGTAAAGGAGGTGGTTTG